CTCGACCAGAGTATCCGCTGCTGAGCGTCAGTAGCGTGATCGACGCAGCACAGAGGAACGTTTTTACTCCGCGTCATGTTTTCTTCTGTTTTTAAGGCAAAAACTCTGCAGCTTTTATTTTTGTGTCTCTTTCTTCTGACTGTGACTGCAGTAACAACAGGACATGAAAACGGTAAGAACACTAATGCTGAGACAGTAAAGCTCTTCTACTGATTTAACACAGCAGCGAGACGTATCCAAAAATGATGAATTATCCCTTTAATGTTGGTGTTGATTCGTTTTCCCCACTCATGGTTCACAACTGTCAGTGATGAGGTAAACAACAACTAGATTTAAAGATACAAGTGTTGAGTGTTTCCTCACTGCGGTCCGAGCTGTCCCGTCACAGTGGAGAGAAACACCGAAATATCTGCTAAACAACAATGAAGGAGACGTAATTACTGCTTCAAACAAATTCAGTTCTCAAATCACCACGATGTTGGTGTGAAAACTTCACAAAGACTTTTCTTTCTACTAGATATTACTAAGAATTGGTCTTCTACTATTAAACACAGAAGAAATCATTGGAAAGATTGCAGGTCAATGATGATGTCGCAGGTCATGCTCAGCACACTTCAGTTTAACAGCCTTCTCTGCAGAGGGAGGAGAGTGACAGATTATCTTCCAGTGCTGCTCTTTGTTATCGTGATGACAGCAGAAGGAGTTCAGGCACGTCAGCTCGTCACAGGAAGCTCAAACACAGCAGCTGGTCTCTGAGTGGACTCTTCATCCTTTTCAGTCTGTGACATTCTCATTACCATCACTCAGCACTGTGCCAAACCACCTCAGTGTGAGCTGAAGGCTAATGCCACTGGGAGGTCACTAAACCAGAAACCACCTTAAAATTGACCTGAATGCTGAAACATCACCCTCCTTGTGCTGTAGCTTCATGCTGTGTTCACAGGTGCAGCTCCGAAGCCGTTTGTTGGGATCCTGAACATCACGGAGTACAGGGTGCAGCTGAGGTGTGAGGTCAGAGGTGCGTCTCCGAAGCCTAGAGTGGAGTGGAGGGACAGCCATGGAAACATCCTTCGTGCTGAGGAGCCACAGGTGTCACACAGAGACGGCCGCTATGACATCACCCTCCTCACCGCGGTGACCAGGACAAACACCAACCTCTTCCACTGCGTGGCCACACAGGAGGAGATGGGCCATGTGACTGAAGAAGAGATCCACGTTCCAGGTGAGGCCACAGACTCTTTGATTGCTAAAGGTTATGATCAGTGTGTTTAGAAACTATCTTTGTAACAGCAGGCTTCTGTAATGTGTTTCAGATCAGCTGTTCGAGTCCTGCGATGGAGTCGGTGTGATCGTTTCTGTATTTGCTTCTGGATTCTCTGTCGCTGTGTTTGCGTCTCTGTTGCTGTTCTC